AGATCCTTTGAAGTTTCCAACTTAACCCCAGGTAACAAATATGAGTCCCAGGGGCACCAGTTGAACCTATTCCTTATAAAAGCTGTCTTGGAACCTTTCTTGGCTTATCTTTGCCTTATATCTCATTGGCCAGAACTTGGTGACTAGGTCACCCCTAAAGGCAAAGAAGTTTGAGGGTACATGTGAGTTTTCTACAGTAGGCCTCGTCACGTCAGAGGAATAAGGTGAGAATGGACATTGGTCAAGCATCTAACGGTGGTCTGTCTCAGGATGTTTGTAATCCTGCTCTTACACTGACGTCTTTCCCAGATTTTCACAACCTCTTATCAATGGCAAAATATTTTCCAAGTTCCAACCAATTTACAGCTAAGGCTGGATGGAAAGAAAATTGGATATGGAATTGGGAGACCTGGGTTCAAATCCCAGCTGAACTGTTTTTGAATGGTGAGCCCTTGGGAAGGTCTCCATCTTGCTGACTCTCAGCTGAAAGCTAAAAATGCCATGGTGACTTAGAAGCATCAATGTGCTAATAAACATGGGGAGTCTTAGTAAATACAAGTCCTGGCTGAGAGAGTGGAAGAGTAAAGGGCAGGTCCAGCATTTGTCATGCAATGGGGCCAGGGCACCTTCCAGGACAAAGCAAAAGCCTGCTTCCATCACATGATGTCTCCAAGTCCACACAAGGTTGGCACAAGACCTCAGGTCCAGACACCCAGCAACACCCAAGACTGCTGAACGACACCAGCAATCTAGTTATTACCATTCCTAGGGAAGATGCAGTACACACAGGGAAGATGCAGTACCACATTGTCAGTCTGGATAATGGTCTCTAGATAATGGAACATGAATCCAGACTTTCACTGATTCTGCCTCAGTGCAGATAACTGGGTAACTGGGTAGGCATGTTGTCCTATTTGGATGAATAAAAGTACCTTTGATTGGCATAGATGCTTTCATGCACACAGAGCCATGCTGAGAACAGACCAGAGGAAGGAAAAACATATGACTGAGAAATCAGCATTCGGTCCTTACAACAAACATCTCTTACAAATGTACACATCCAGTTAGATGGTAAAGGGCAGCACTCATTGCAATAACTACTAAGCTATCTGTGCCCTTCTAGATATATTCAGCAGAAGTATTTCTCAGAAGTAAATAAAACCAGATTTCCGAGTGTTAGAAGGCATCTCTGATCTATATTAATCATGCACCATTCAGCAGTGGAAGAATTCATCTGGAACTGTAGGAGAGAGTGCGTAATTAATACATATAAGAAATTCCAGCAATGAAAGAAGCTTCATTGTTTTCTGGGTGATTTCTAAAGTTGCTTACTGATGAATTAGGGCATGTCTGAATCAAAACTATTTTCTGATTGTTTTGTACTCCCAGTGGGGGCAGCATGCCTCCTCCCAGGACTCAGTTTGTTCTTTTAGGCCTTCAAAACTTTCCTGTCTGGGCAGCTGCTTTGGATAATGTGCCCTGACTCCTAGCCAATCCGTTTTTACATTTTTAAATTTTTTATTATGACATAATTCACATACTATAAAACCCACCATTTAAATTGTACAAATATTTTTAGACTATTACCAATTTGGGCAAACATCATCACCATCTAATTCCAGAACACTTCAATTATCCCCAAAGAAATTCCGTTTTCATTAGCAGTCACTTCTTATTTCCCTCTTACCCAGTGCCTTGCAACCACTAATCTGCTTTCTGACGCTATAGATTTGCCTATTCTGGACCTTTCATTTAAATAGAATCATATAATATGTGAGCTTTTGTGTCTGGCTTCTTTCACTTAGCCTAATGTTTTCAAGGTTCACCCATGTCATAGCAGGTTCATCCATGCTATAACATTCCTTTTATGGCTGGATAATATTTCATGGTATGGATACAGCCACATTTGGTTTATCAGTTGATGGACATGTGGGTTGTTTCCATTGTTTGGCCATTATGAATAATGTTGCTATACACATTTGTGTTCAAGATTTTATATGAGGATGTGTTTTCAGTTCTCTTGTGCATGCCACTAGAAATGGAATTACTGAGTCATCTGGTAACTCTGTTTAGTATTTTGAGGAACTGCCAATTGTTTTTCAAAGTGGCTGCACCAGTTTACATTCCCATCAGTGACGGGTTCTGGTGCGTGTATGAGGATTCCAAATACCCTGCATCCTCACCAACACAATCTTTTTATTCTAGCCATCCTAGTAGGTGTGAAGTGGTATCTCATTATGGTTTTGATGTGCATTTCCCGAAGGACTCACGATGCTGGGCATCTTATGTGTCTGTCTGAGAATATCTATTTAAATACTCTGTCCATTTTTAAATTAGGTTGCCTTTTTATTATTGAGTTGTAAGAGCTCTCAGTATATTCTGGATACTTGGCTCTTACCGGATATATGATTTGCAAATCTTTTCTCCCATTCTGCAGGTTGTCTTTTCACTTTCTTAATAGTGTCCTCTGATGCACAAAGGTATTTAATTTTTATGAAGTCCATTTTTTCCTTTTGTTGTATGTAATTTTGGTGTCATATCTAAGAAATCATTGCCTAATACAAGGTCATGAAGATTTATACCAATGTTTTCTTCTGCGAGTTTATAGTTTTAGTTGTTACATTTAGATCTTTGATCCATTTTGAGCTAAATTTTGCATATGGTGTGAGGTAGGGGATCTAAATTCACTCATTTGCCTGTGGATGTCTGGTTGCCCCATTATTTGTTTAAGGACTATTCTTTCCTCATTGAAAGGTCTTGGCAACTTTGTTAAATATCAATTAACCATAGGTATACGAGTTTTTTCTGGACTCTCCTATTCCATTGATTTCTATATCTATCTTTATGCTGGTATAACACTGTCTTGACTACTTTTGTACTTGTCTTGATAAGTATTTGTATTTGTACTGTCCTGATAGATTTGTACTAGATTTTAAGATCAGGAAATGTAAATCCTCCAACTTTGTTCTTTTTTGAGATTGTTTCGATTATTCTGAGTCTCTTGCACTTCCATATACATTTTAGGATCGATTTGTCCATTTTTGTGAAAAAGGCAGTTGGAACTTTGCCAGTTAGTTTTTGCTTGATAATTTGAGACTATTTATTTGGACCTCTTAGTTACAAAGTTAGGAACTCAGAGTAATCTGAGGGTGATTCAGAGTCCTTGAGCTGAAATGTTACCCCTATCTCCTCAAACAATCTCCATGCACTTCAAGTATAATGATGGATCTTCAGTTTAGAAGGTCAAAAATGCTTAGAGAGACCAGGTATGTCCTGACTCTGAATGTCATCTTCTCTCCACTCTGCCTTGCTGTTCCTGCTCAGATTGGGCTCTAGAAAAAGCCTGAGTGTTCGCCTGTGCCCTGCACAATGGCTGGAGGGCTTCTGGCAGGTCACCTTCTCCTCCAGCAGTCCAGGCCGGATGTGCTCTCTAATCCTCAGAGAGGGCTCTGACTCCCAACTCCCACATCCCAGTGCATGGAGGCCACAGTGAATTCTCTTGAGTGTACAGTCTTATAGAAGCCTCCTGTAAGAGGGCTTTGCAGGGACACCCAGGCAAAAGCATTGCAAGGGTCCTCCTTTGAAGAACATCAGTTTTAAAGAAACAGACAGCTAAGTGTTCTAGTTTATAAGGTCAGAAAGCAAGATATATAAAAAAAGCAGTTTTTAATCTTATAAAAACTAAATGTTAATCCAGTGTAGAAGTCTCAGAGAACTCCACATTCCTGCTGTTTCTCCATGCATTCAGAATTCTTCCTCATAGGCCATGGATAAGTGTTCATTTTCTGTAGCTGCACTGTTCTGAATGTCCCAGGCAGCAATTACTAATGAATTAAACCTCTTGTTTCCTGAGCCTTTTGCTCCACTCCTTTCTGAGGGAGTCAGACTGTAATTCACAGAAGAGCATCTACCTTCCCCTCCTGTTACAGAATTGGGAAGAAGTCATGCAGGCCTCTGTGAGTCACACAAGGGGCCTGGCAGGGGAACTCTGTGGAAGGCACTCTCCTCCTCGTGATGGTTGTGAGACTTCATCCTGATTGGTTGTGAGACTCCATCCTGAATGGTTGTGAGCACTGTAACTACACTGCTGCATCTTACGGCATTTCTGCCACAAGTTGGTTTCCCTGGCCTTTGAGTGATTAAGTACACCTGATATAGGGGGTAGAAAGTCTTTGGGGCTCCCTTCCTGGCCTATATCCCTCTCTGGGAATGCCTCCCTTGGCCTCTGTGTGAACTCCATGCTGAGCGGTGACCAGTCAGACTGTCTCTGGAATGTGCGGCCCACCCAGGCTGGAGTCATTCAGTGGCAGATGCATGGACTAGTGTAGATGTCAAATGGGCACCTCATGTGGACCGAAGTTTGGAGAGCTGGTGCTTTGAGTAAGCAGAGACCAAAGGTTTGGGAGAACGTCATCAAGAGAAGGCAGAAACAACAGGCAGCACCCGAGGGCAGCCACCCACATCCTCCAGCCCCACGAGGTCCCCAAGTCCAAAGGCCCAGACTGCACCTTAGCCAGCCCCTGGCACGTCCAGCTCCTCAAACTTTGCCACCTGAGTGGGTGGAGACCCAGGGCATGAATGTAAATCTTTGTTATGTCTGGAGGACAATTTTTCAAGTGTGTTGCTTTCTTTCTTTAAAATAAACTGAGGATGCATTTTATCCTAGAATAAATCTATGTTTGCTAAAAAGTGTTTTCCCACAAAGAACTCTGGAGCTAAAACAATGTCTGGTATCCCTGAGGATTCTGAAACCCACTTTGAGAAACGAGGAGTTTGTCCAGCTGTCTGATTTTGCCCGCGAAGAGGCGTGAAGCCCAAAGAAGATGAGGGCTTTTCTTCTTTCCGTCTTGTCCTGGGTTTTCTAACCGGAAAAATTAGGTTATGTGGTTCTCCCAGGGCTGCAGCGCAGGATAAGAGACTGCACGTGAGTAGACGGCTAAGCCAATGCCCTGAGCACAAGCCGAGGAACGCAGTCTCCTCTCTCACTGCATCCCTGCGCTCCCGCCTCCCGCTCTTCCCGCGCCCTTCCTTCCGCCCCGGGCCTCCCCCGGGCCCGCCTCGGCCTCCAACCGGAAGCCTGAGCGCCGAGGGCCTCGAGCAGCGCGCACCCCGGGCCGGCCGCCCGCCGCGCTCCCTCCGCCTCCCGACCGGGTAACTGCCCCCGGTCCGAGCGGCCCGTCCGACCCCGGGGCGGGGGCTGGCCTTCCGCGGCTCGCGGTCCCGGGCCCATCCCCGCGTGCCCCGCCGGCGATCGCGGCGTCCTCTCCGGGGAACCGTAGCGCCGCGTCTGGCTCTTGAGCTTCTCGCGCTTTCGTTCAAGCCCGACTTCAGGGAAGCTGCGTCCGCCTCCGCGCCGCGTTCTGTAGCCTCTAGTTGGGCGCCCAGACTTGGGGGAAGCTGGGAGGGATGAGGGTTTCCAATGCTCTCCAACTTGTGAGAGTTCCTGCAGTTCCAGGAGAGCCCCGAGAAGGATGTCTGCGGTGTTTTTAGAGGCGGGGGGTGGAACCTTATCCTGCAGACCTTACCAAAACCCGTCCTCAGCCCCAGGCTTGGCTAGCCGTACTGCTGCTGGGTGACTTTACAGAGGCAGGGGCCTGCGTGCAGCGTGCTGGCGCTTCAGCGCTGGGGGCCAGTCCGCGGTCACTGGCCAGGGACTTGGCCGCTGGGCTCCAAGTCTCCGCCCTGCCCCACCCCTTCTCAGAAGATTTCTTGACTTACTAGAGTGTTTCCCTGCGTTAGGCAGTCAGTCTCCTTCCTCTTGTTATTTATTCAGGTTAATGGTCAGTTTTTCTACGCTGTCTCCACTCTGGAGCAGGGTTCAGAGGAATCACAAGGGTCAATTATTGTCACATAACAACAATTGAACAGAGTAAAATTTAAAATAACATTTGGCTCTCTTTGAACAATTTGTGAATCCTGCAGCATCCCAACCAGTAAGTAGAGAGGAACTCCAGTGGGCCACCGAAAGATGTTTCTAAAGGCAGACAAGTCACAAAAAAAGGATTATTTCTGGCAAGGTCACCTTTGTCCCCCAAAGGGTATTTATTTAGGTGCTGCTCAGGAAATTCTCTTCTAGGATTACTCTCCTGAGGAAGGTTGAAACTGCAGTTCCATTGGGTGTTAAGCCCCAGTTTGGTGATGTGAGCCTGACACAAGAGAATCCGTTTTAGGCCTTTGGCTTTCTTTTTAACATAAAATCTTAAACCCCAGAAGTCACTTAGCCCAGGCTCCATCTGATGCCTGGAGCCCCTGCAGCAGTGCAACAAAAGTGCCTGATTTGCTTTTCAGTTTTATCACCTCCTGTGGCAGCTGCTGCTACTTCTGGGCCTTTCTTTTCGTTTACCTCACGCTGAACCCAGTGGTGTGTGTGCTCTGTAGCTTCGCCCTGTTGTCTTGAGAAGGCTGCTCCCTGGGATTGTTGGACAGAGCAGGGACAGTCCTTCCCTGGTGAAGATTGCCTGTGCACTGCTCAGTCTGGTTCCCTGCACTGACATGTGCAGAGCCAGGTGTCAGGCCCTCTCCTTTGTCCTGGGTCAGTTTGTCCATGTCCCCCTTAAAGCGGGGAGCTCAGAACCCAGTGCTGCAGGTGTGATGCAGTCCAGCTCATCCAGGGAAGGGTGTGCTGCAGATGACTTTCTTCACTGCTGCCTGCAGCGCCTGCCCTTGCCCTCAGGCCTGCGGCTGCTGCTTTGGCAGCTCAGTTATCTCCTCCCCTTTGGTCCAGTCCAGTGATGTGGCCAGGCAGGATCTCCCTCTTGTCAGTTCAGGGTCTTGGGCAGTTTGTGTTGGCTCTAACCCTTGCACAGAGTTACAGAAACTCTTCCCTTTATTGAAGGCACTGTTAGACTCTGGCCTCCCTAACCCGGTTCTGTTTTGTGAAACTCTGAGCCATTTGCTTACCCACTCCAGGTAGCTTTTGGAGTTACTCTGATTTCATTTCTTTTGAGATGTCCTTTACAAGGGTGACCATATGACCCAATTTGCTTGAGACAGTTCTAGCTCACACTCATTGTCCCAGCATAATTATTAATAGTATCCACTTTCACTTTCAAAAGATTCATGATTTAGATGATTAAACTTGGCTCTAAGTTGGATGCCCTTGTGTGTGTAGGCACGAGAATGGCACACAGGGCTCAGAGGTGTCAGAGCTACACTTGAGAACTAGCATTCCTCCAGATCAATGCTTGCTCATGTCTGGGTCCACTTCCGCTCAAAAAAATGACCACCTCAATGGTCATTTAACACTGTTGCCTGTAACCTAGTGGTCCACCACTCTGGTAGTTTGTGGGAGGTGGGGAGCTTCAGGTGTCTGTGCCCCAGAGCGCAGGGGTTCCCTCTGACCCTGGCACAGGTGAATCCAAGCTGATACTGAGAACTGTGTCTAGTTAAATTCATCCCCTGAGGTGCTGTGGGCGTTAAAACCAGAGCCCTGAATTCACTGACCCTTCCAGAGAAAGGCATTCAGAGCTCAGGCCTGGCTCAGCCCAGCCCCTTGACATGTCCCCTGACTCCTGGGAACCTGCCTGTTGTGGAGATGTATCGAAGTTAGGCCTGGGTGCCCCTGGACACTCCCTCTCCCCGACCCCAATCAGAGTACTGAGTCCACAGAGGGCCAACTAGCTGTGGCTGGGCAGTATTAAGGGTATTGTGTTGGTACTTCTAATTGTTCTTCTAGGATTAGGCCCTAATTTTCAACAGAATGACCCACTGCCCTAATTTCCTAGGACTGAGGGGTTTTCTGGGACATGGGACTTTCAGTTTTAAAACTAGGAAAGTCCTGGACAGACTGGAATGAGTTGGTTCCCTGTGATTAACCCTAGGTGCACATTAGAATAATGCAAAGAGCCTCTCATGTACAACTTGTAGTTTAATTGATCCAGGGAGGGTCCCAGGTAGGAGTATTTTTTTTAAAGCTCCCATGTTGATTTTGACAAATTACCAGAGTGGTGAAATGCTATGTTATAGGCAACATTGCTAGCTAACCATTTAAGTGGTTATTTTTTCAGCAGATGTGGACCCAGACATCTCTCAAAAGGGTGTATAACCAAGCGTGGCAGTCTTCTCAAGTAATATATCAAAATGACAATTGCTTTATTATTAGTGTTACCTTTACCCCAAGGCCTTCTTCTCACCTTCCCGGCATGCTCCTGTGCCCCCCTGACAAGGCAGTAGGATTGCCACTGATGTGGGATTGCCTCATTTTGATTGGAGAGATCACATTTGCACAGTCCCAAGTGGGGCTGGCATGAGACTGTAGGGCTCTAGTCTCCCGGTCCCGGGCTGGGACACCTACCGCAGTAAGTGGTGGTCTGGGGCAAGCTGGGGGCTGGCAGTGTTTCACTTTCACCCTGTGGGGTACTGAGCTTGATCAGGTACCTCTGGGACTGTTCCCTCTGCAGGCCTCCAGGATCATGTGGTACGTCAGCACTAGGGGGATGGCCCCCCGGGTCGACTTTGAGGGGGCCCTCTTCTCTGGCTATGCTCCTGATGGGGGCCTCTTCATGCCTGAGGAGCTCCCACAGCTGAGCAGAGAGACCCTGCATGAGTGGAGCACGCTGTCCTACCCCAGCCTGGTGAAGGAGTTGTGCGTCCTCTTCATTGGCTCTGAGCTCATTCCCAGGGATGACTTAAATTGTAAGCACCCCCACCTCCCTGCTCTCCCACTCACTCCCCTGCCAGCCCAGTCCCCCGCAGAGTTGCAAATCCATCACTTAACCCTTGGGAGGTCTCTGGTCACATTTTTCAAACTTGGGAGTTCTTTCCAGACTCTGGACTCCCAGGATTGGAAATATCCCTAAAGAGTTCATCCGTTCCAGCTCCCACTTATTGTGAGATGAATGCTGACATGATCTACAGAGAATTTTTTCCCTTTAGTTTCTTTAAAAAAAAAAAAAAAAGCTTTTCAAGAGGGGGATTTTGCCATCATCCTAAGATGCTTGAATGTTGGGATATTTCCTCCCTGCATATAAAGCACCCAGGCCTTCAGATTGCTGTTTTATTTCCTTGAATGGTAGTTCTAGAAGGGACTTTGAGAGTCCTAGGACCAGCTCAAAGTGTAATGTGTAATGTGCCCATCGATTCTTCTTGGGGATCTCGTTAACATTCAGTAGGTCTGGTGTGGGCCTGAGTTTCTACATTCCTATTAAATGTCCAGATGATGCCAGTGCTACTGGTTCACAGGCCAAATATATGATCTAATCCATAAGGTAATGGTGGAGTTTGAAGGTGGAAAGAGGAAGACTATTCAAAATGTGGTCCCATGACCAGCACAGACGCCATTGCCCAGGGACTTATTAGATCCCTCAGGCCCGATGAACCAGAATCTGTATTTTAAGATCTCAAGTGCTAATTTAAGTTTGAGGAACACAGCTTTAGAGGACCTGACTTAGGTAGGATTATGTATAAGCCATCTCAAGGTTCTGGCATCAGGGCTGTGAGATTTAGTAGTGCACAAACAGCTTTCTGCCCTTAGGAAGGAATATTAGAAGAGGTGAGACATCAATTTGTTCATTGCCTAATTGTTTAATTGAACCTGTATTGAAATACGTACTCAGGAGAGATTCAAACAATGAAGCTTATAAAGTAAAAAATTAAAGTCTTACAGCACCTGCTGCTCTAGGGGAATTGCTACGAGGTATCTATGAACAGTTTGGTTCATGTCTTTTCAGACTCTATTTAGAATTATACAATTATAGTCATACACAGTGTCATTTAGGATAAAAATTTGTGGTCTTTTTATCCAGTAGCAGGAGATAGAAACTTCAAATGCAAAAGCCCATCTACAGAGGCTGAGAGAACTTGTTAGACAAGGTAACATCCTTATTCACTGTGCAACCCCCTCTCTCCTGGCAGGTCTGATAGACCAAGCCTTCAGCAGATTCCGCCACAGAGAGGTGGTCCATCTGTCCAGGTTGAAGGATGGGCTGAACGTGTTGGAGCTGTGGCATGGGGTCACGTATGCATTTAAGGACCTGGCCCTGAGCTGCACAGCACAATTCCTGCAGTACTTCCTGCAGAGGAGGAAGCAGCATGTCACCGTGGTTGTAGGTGCGCATTGCGGGTGTGAGCACTGGAGTCCTTGGTGCCCCGACTTGCTGGTCTCCACCCACAGATGGCCTCCAGTGACATCTCTCAGGGAGTGGCTTACTGGGTCTTCTGGAGCAGGGTTCTTGACCTTGTGCCATGGACCCCTTTGACAGTCTGGTGGAGGCTATGGCACCTTTTCAGAATCGTATTTTTAAACACGTAAGATTACATGGTACCAAGTTCACAGATGCCCTGATTTCTATCCACAGATCTCTTGGAGGTTCATGGTCCCCCCAGGAAGCACTAGGTTCCCACCCTCCAAGCCTTTGAAAGTAGATATTGCCTTATTTGGCCACAGTGCTTTAGAGGCCATTTCTTTTCCTTTTCTGTCCCTTTGTCCTAAAGGGGAGGGTTTTTCTTCCCTTCCAGGAACTTCTGGGGACACAGGGAGTGCTGCCATTGAGAGTGTTCAAGGGACAGAGAATGTGGGCATCATTGTTCTGCTGCCCAAGGGTCTCTGCACTAAGATTCAGGAGCTGCAGATGACGACAGTGCTGAAGGAGAACGTCCGTGTGTTTGGAGGTATGTTTGGCTCAGAGGCCCCAGGGACAGCATGGCTCTACTTTGAGTGCGTCTGTTTTGGGAGATGGGCTGGAACAAATCTGATCAATTGACTAGCTGACCATCCTTCCTCCTCCTCCTTCTCCCTCCCTGCTTCCCTTCATCAGTCATATTTTGAGTTTGATATATGTCCTGGGCTTACCTCTGGGCAGGCTCTTGGCTACACAGTCTCATAAGTTATTGGAGGTCACAGGTGCAGAAATCAGTACTGATTGTATAGCCTAGGAGGTGCAGGTTTATAAAATCATACCCCAAAGAATGCTACCTCCATGCATGGTCCACCTGCTGGTGCCATATGTACAAGCAGCTGCCCAGAACCAATAGCCTGATCCAGGGGACTAGAGTTTTGTCCCATGGCACTGAAGTTTAGAAGGTACGAAATGTTAAGTACTTATTTTAGGAGAATGTGTCATTGCAACGTAGAAATGATTAAGCTGTGCTCTGCATAGTGGGTCCAAGGATATAAAATAAGAAGCCACTCCTGGTACCCATGACTAGTGACACACCTGCCTGAGCCACATCAAGAATTGTAGCATTTTATGCTTACAGAAAGGCCAAAATCCATCTCATTTAATGTCAGGCCATCTATTCCAAGTGGATTTAATCATGGTGAAGACCAAGAGTAGAGAAAGGGGGGTGAGTTTGAGTGGAGCCATACATTTTTATTTCCACCTCTCATACCCCACTAGACCCCAGGTAGCCCCAAAGTAGGGGTAGGAATATGAGAGTAGATGTCCTAGAGGTTTTGTACATGATTGCCTTGGACAAGCTGTCCAGGTGGCCTGGCTTGGTTTGGTCACTCAGCCGGTGAGTGTAATCCTGGTATAATCCCTTAGAGGACTTTTTTATATATCACCCGTTTTGTCAAGGAGCAAAAGCACGGAGAAAACAAACCTGACCCATGGGAGTAGCATGCATGTCCTTTCTCCTTTGTTCAAGAGCAAGTAAGAAGCCCCTTCTGCTCTTTTCTTTAGCAAGCACATATATATTCCAGTGATGGGTTCATGGTTTAGCTAATGCAGGTGTTGGCAAAATCTTACACATTAGCCTTGGTAATTGTCCATATTTGTGTTTTTTTGCAGTTACTGCATGATTTTAATGCATGAGATTTCAGGCTCCTGAGGTCCTTACTATACACTAAGCACCAGAATTGCTAGTTATGGATCTAGCATTGCCTGTGCCTAGAATCAAAGGAGAGAATAGCTTTCTATGCCTCTGTGCTACCGTCTACTCTCTTCTTGCCTTTACACAGATATTGGAAGGCATCTATTTAAGGGCATATATGGAAGCTCCATTCTTGACCATGCTCCTTGACAAAATGGTAAAACTATGGTTGTAAAACCATAGCAGAGATGTAGATGACAAATGTGGTATGTCATAAATGTGTTATTGCTGGAGCTGAAGGGGCATTTCTGTATTGCACATGTTCTGAGCTTCAAGAAAACAAGGCAGCAAACTTTAAGGAAGTTAGTTTTTGTTTCTAAACAGCACTGTTCAAGTTCTTCGTTTCCTTTCTGGAACCTTCTGATTTGGTTTCCAGGAGGATATATGTTAGTTCAGGAGCTGACCGTGGAAGTATATTTTCCCGAAACTGGTAAGCTCAGGAAATGGGATGATGGGCCACCTGGATGGCTGTGTGTTGGACACTGATGTTTTATAAAGTCATTGATTTCCATATACATTGTATACTTGGTTCTTTTTAAGCACAGAATTATCAGCAGGTGCTAGTTATATGTTATTTGGGATGTTTTGGACTGGAAGTAACAGAACATCTAACTCAGATAAGCTTGAACAGGAGTTATTTTCCAGCTAGTATAACTGGAAGTCTAGAGGTAGGATGGGCTCCTGATTGGTTCATTCAGTGGCTCAGCAGTGTCTTTGGGGACCAAGGTTCTTTGGATTGTCTTTTCACCTTCTCCAATGCCAAGGCTCATTCCTCTTGGGGCAGATGATGGTTACTTAAGGTAACGAGGTCTCTCTTCCTGTGGCTCTGTCTTACAAGCAATGAATATTTTCCTAGCACCCCAGCACACATCCCCCTTGTGTGTGGCTCTAGAGTCAGCACCCTGGCCTCATTGCTGCTACACCGTGGTGGAGGGTGGAAGGAATTACCACCTCAGTGCCTACTTGACATTTCTCCCAATAAATCTCAACCTTCTCTCCTCCAAGTTTGGAGGCAATGGAGAAATAGACCCAGGTTTCAGATAAGAGATCAATATTGGCTTGATTGCTGGTTGGGCTGGATTGAGGAATGCAACTTGGATTTATAACCACTTCACCCACAAATTTACACAATAATTCATCCATAACTAAACTGTGTAGACACCTGGTTCAGGGAGGAGAAGCCCTCCCCATGCCAGCAGAGAGCAGAGCACCCACCCTTGTGATCTCAATAATGGAAGGAGCGTAGACATGAAACGGCCACTGTTTCTCCCCAGCCCTGGACAGAGGACCGCAGAGTAAAGGATCAGCCCCTTGCCATCTCACAACCGGATAAACCATTCCTCCTTGTCCCCAGGGAGTGGCGGTGGCAAGGAATACAAAGAGGAATTCTTTTCCCAATATCCCAGAAGGTTGACATTTTATATCTAATATTATATAATGGTAGAAACATTGGAAATATGACCATGAAAATATGTGACATGGTTTCTACCCTTGAGGAGCTTAATTCTAAGTCTAGAAAACCAGACCGAGACCTGTGAGAGTTAAAGAAACCAAGGCTGAGGGAAGGTCCTGGCAGGATGGGCCCAGCCTGGGGGGTCCTGGTTGTAGGTGAGTGCTGACTGCCTGGGGGTCCTTTGTGCTTCTGACAGCCCCCCTCCCCTCTCTCCCTGGCAGTGGAGGGCAACAGCGATGAGCTTGACAAACCCATCAAGGCTGTGTTTGCCGACGTGGCTTTTGTCAAGAAGTACAATCTGATGAGTCTGAATTCAATCAACTGGGCCCGGATCCTTGTGCAAATGGCCCACCACTTCTTCGCTTATTTCCAGTGTGCGCCATCCTTAGAGATGCATTCCCTGCCCCCTGTGGAGGTAGTTGTGCCAACCGGGGCTGCGGGTAACCTTGCAGGTAAGGGGACCTCTGAACGGACGTGGGCTTTCCAGAAAAATGCTTGTGGCGCTTATTCCTCCCCGCTGCCCTTTGGCTGCAGCTTTAAGGAGAAAAATTGAGAAATAGCTCTGAAAATAACAAGAACTACAGAGAACAAGCTCCTAGAAAACTTTCCCCTAACTACCAGGGGGGACCTCCAGGCCTCTTGCTGCAGGTGGTGCATGGTGGGTTGACTCCACTCAGCAGAGTGTGGAGAGATGGAGTCAAAGTTCAGCTGCATGTCTGACTGGCAGTGCCCTCTTGCTGAAATACAGACTTTACTCCCCATCTCTGCCAGCTGCTGCTGGGAGGGCAGGCAGCTCAAATGGCACGTATTCCCCCTCCTAGACACACTATCCAGAGGCCACGTGTGGTGGCAAGGGTTTTGGACTTAGTGTTCTGGCCCCAGTTCTGTCCTTTACTAGCTGAACAGCTGTGGGGAAGTCCCTTAGACTCAGCTGATAAGCTATAAAAAGGAGATTGGATCACATCGCTTATCATCTCAGGACTGCTGTGAGGTGCAAATGAGATTATGTGTGTAAATGAACTTTGTGAGAGTACAGTGCTGTATGGCTGCGTGGCATTAAAATCATTTTCTATAATAATAACATTTAAAAAGCACTTACTATGCAGCAGTTATTGCTTATGTGCTTTCCAATTATTAAGTCATTTAATCCTCACATGCACCTGTGATGGGGACCATTTGTATATCTTCTTTNCTGACACAAGAGAATCCGTTTTAGGCCTTTGGCTTTCTTTTTAACATAAAATCTTAAACCCCAGAAGTCACTTAGCCCAGGCTCCATCTGATGCCTGGAGCCCCTGCAGCAGTGCAACAAAAGTGCCTGATTTGCTTTTCAGTTTTATCACCTCCTGTGGCAGCTGCTGCTACTTCTGGGCCTTTCTTTTCGTTTACCTCACGCTGAACCCAGTGGTGTGTGTGCTCTGTAGCTTCGCCCTGTTGTCTTGAGAAGGCTGCTCCCTGGGATTGTTGGACAGAGCAGGGACAGTCCTTCCCTGGTGAAGATTGCCTGTGCACTGCTCAGTCTGGTTCCCTGCACTGACATGTGCAGAGCCAGGTGTCAGGCCCTCTCCTTTGTCCTGGGTCAGTTTGTCCATGTCCCCCTTAAAGCGGGGAGCTCAGAACAACCCAGTGCTGCAGGTGTGATGCAGTCCAGCTCATCCAGGGAAGGGTGTGCTGCAGATGACTTTCTTCACTGCTGCCTGCAGCGCCTGCCCTTGCCCTCAGGCCTGCGGCTGCTGCTTTGGCAGCTCAGTTATCTCCTCCCCTTTGGTCCAGTCCAGTGATGTGGCCAGGCAGGATCTCCCTCTTGTCAGTTCAGGGTCTTGGGCAGTTTGTGTTGGCTCTAACCCTTGCACAGAGTTACAGAAACTCTTCCCTTTATTGAAGGCACTGTTAGACTCTGGCCTCCCTAACCCGGTTCTGTTTTGTGAAACTCTGAGCCATTTGCTTACCCACTCCAGGTAGCTTTTGGAGTTACTCTGATTTCATTTCTTTTGAGATGTCCTTTACAAGGGTGACCATATGACCCAATTTGCTTGAGACAGTTCTAGCTCACACTCATTGTCCCAGCATAATTATTAATAGTATCCACTTTCACTTTCAAAAGATTCATGATTTAGATGATTAAACTTGGCTCTAAGTTGGATGCCCTTGTGTGTGTAGGCACGAGAATGGCACACAGGGCTCAGAGGTGTCAGAGCTACACTTGAGAACTAGCATTCCTCCAGATCAATGCTTGCTCATGTCTGGGTCCACTTCCGCTCAAAAAAATGACCACCTCAATGGTCATTTAACACTGTTGCCTGTAACCTAGTGGTCCACCACTCTGGTAGTTTGTGGGAGGTGGGGAGCTTCAGGTGTCTGTGCCCCAGAGCGCAGGGGTTCCCTCTGACCCTGGCACAGGTGAATCCAAGCTGATACTGAGAACTGTGTCTAGTTAAATTCATCCCCTGAGGTGCTGTGGGCGTTAAAACCAGAGCCCTGAATTCACTGACCCTTCCAGAGAAAGGCATTCAGAGCTCAGGCCTGGCTCAGCCCAGCCCCTTGACATGTCCCCTGACTCCTGGGAACCTGCCTGTTGTGGAGATGTATCGAAGTTAGGCCTGGGTGCCCCTGGACACTCCCTCTCCCCGACCCCAATCAGAGTACTGAGTCCACAGAGGGCCAACTAGCTGTGGCTGGGCAGTATTAAGGGTATTGTGTTGGTACTTCTAATTGTTCTTCTAGGATTAGGCCCTAATTTTCAACAGAATGACCCACTGCCCTAATTTCCTAGGACTGAGGGGTTTTCTGGGACATGGGACTTTCAGTTTTAAAACTAGGAAAGTCCTGGACAGACTGGAATGAGTTGGTTCCCTGTGATTAACCCTAGGTGCACATTAGAATAATGCAAAGAGCCTCTCATGTACAACTTGTAGTTTAATTGATCCAGGGAGGGTCCCAGGTAGGAGTATTTTTTTTAAAGCTCCCATGTTGATTTTGACAAATTACCAGAGTGGTGAAATGCTATGTTATAGGCAACATTGCTAGCTAACCATTTAAGTGGTTATTTTTTCAGCAGATGTGGACCCAGACATCTCTCAAAAGGGTGTATAACCAAGCGTGGCAGTCTTCTCAAGTAATATATCAAAATGACAATTGCTTTATTATTAGTGTTACCTTTACCCCAAGGCCTTCTTCTCACCTTCCCGGCATGCTCCTGTGCCCCCCTGACAAGGCAGTAGGATTGCCACTGATGTGGGATTGCCTCATTTTGATTGGAGAGATCACATTTGCACAGTCCCAAGTGGGGCTGGCATGAGACTGTAGGGCTCTAGTCTCCCGGTCCCGGGCTGGGACACCTACCGCAGTAAGTGGTGGTCTGGGGCAAGCTGGGGGCTGGCAGTGTTTCACTTTCACCCTGTGGGGTACTGAGCTTGATCAGGTACCTCTGGGACTGTTCCCTCTGCAGGCCTCCAGGATCATGTGGTACGTCAGCACTAGGGGGATGGCCTCCCGGGTCGACTTTGAGGGGGCCCTCTTCTCTGGCTATGCTCCTGATGGGGGCCTCTTCATGCCTGAGGAGCTCCCACAGCTGAGCAGAGAGACCCTGCATGAGTGGAGCACGCTGTCCTACCCCAGCCTGGTGAAGGAGTTGTGCGTCCTCTTCATTGGCTCTGAGCTCATTCCCAGGGATGACTTAAATTGTAAGCACCCCCACCTCCCTGCTCTCCCACTCACTCCCCTGCCAGCCCAGTCCCCCGCAGAGTTGCAAATCCATCACTTAACCCTTGGGAGGTCTCTGGTCACATTTTTCAAACTTGGGAGTTCTTTCCAGACTCTGGACTCCCAGGATTGGAAATATCCCTAAAGAGTTCATCCGTTCCAGCTCCCACTTATTGTGAGATGAATGCTGACATGATCTACAGAGAATTTTTTCCCTTTAGTTTCTTTAAAAAAAAAAAAAAAAGCTTTTCAAGAGGGGGATTTTGCCATCATCCTAAGATGCTTGAATGTTGGGATATTTCCTCCCTGCATATAAAGCACCCAGGCCTTCAGATTGCTCTTTTATTTCCTTGAATGGTAGTTCTAGAAGGGACTTTGAGAGTCCTAGGACCAGCTCAAAGTGTAATGTGTAATGTGCCCATCGATTCTTCTTGGGGATCTCGTTAACATTCAGTAGGTCTGGTGTGGGCCTGAGTTTCTACATTCCTATTAAATGTCCAGATGATGCCAGTGCTACTGGTTCACAGGCCAAATATATGATCTAATCCATAAGGTAATGGTGGAGTTTGAAGGTGGAAAGAGGAAGACTATTCAAAATGTGGTCCCATGACCAGCACAGACGCCATTGCCCAGGGACTTATTAGATCCCTCAGGCCCGATGAACCAGAATCTGTATTTTAAGATCTCAAGTGCTAATTTAAGTTTGAGGAACACAGCTTTAGAGGACCTGACTTAGGTAGGATTATGTATAAGCCATCTCAAGGTTCTGGCATCAGGGCTGTGAGATTTAGTAGTGCACAAACAGCTTTCTGCCCTTAGGAAGGAATATTAGAAGAGGTGAGACATCAATTTGTTCATTGCCTAATTGTTTAATTGAACCTGTATTGAAATACGTACTCAGGAGAGATTCAAACAATGAAGCTTATAAAGTAAAAAATTAAAGTCTTACAGCACCTGCTGCTCTAGGGGAATTGCTACGAGGTATCTATGAACAGTTTGGTTCATGTCTTTTCAGACTCTATTTAGAATTATACAATTATAGTCATACACAGTGTCATTTAGGATAAAAATTTGTGGTCTTTTTATCCAGTAGCAGGAGATAGAAACTTCAAATGCAAAAGCCCATCTACAGAGGCTGAGAGAACTTGTTAGACAAGGTAACATCCTTATTCACTGTGCAACCCCCTCTCTCCTGGCAGGTCTGATAGACCAAGCCTTCAGCAGATTCCGCCACAGAGAGGTGGTCCATCTGTCCAGGTTGAAGGATGGGCTGAACGTGTTGGAGCTGTGGCATGGGGTCACGTATGCATTTAAGGACCTGGCCCTGAGCTGCACAGCACAATTCCTGCAGTACTTCCTGCAGAGGAGGAAGCAGCATGTCACCGTGGTTGTAGGTGCGCATTGCGGGTGTGAGCACTGGAGTCCTTGGTGCCCCGACTTGCTGGTCTCCACCCACAGATGGCCTCCAGTGACATCTCTCAGGGAGTGGCTTACTGGGTCTTCTGGAGCAGGGTTCTTGACCTTGTGCCATGGACCCCTTTGACAGTCTGGTGGAGGCTATGGCACCTTTTCAGAATCGTATTTTTAAACACGTAAGATTACATGGTACCAAGTTCACAGATGCCCTGATTTCTATCCACAGATCTCTTGGAGGTTCATGGTCCCCCCAGGAAGCACTAGGTTCCCACCCTCCAAGCCTTTGAAAGTAGATATTGCCTTATTTGGCCACAGTGCTTTAGAGGCCATTTCTTTTCCTTTTCTGTCCCTTTGTCCTAAAGGGGAGGGTTTTTCTTCCCTTCCAGGAACTTCTGGGGACACAGGGAGTGCTGCCATTGAGAGTGTTCAAGGGACAGAGAATGTGGGCATCATTGTTCTGCTGCCCAAGGGTCTCTGCACTAAGATTCAGGAGCTGCAGATGACGACAGTGCTGAAGGAGAACGTCCGTGTGTTTGGAGGTATGTTTGGCTCAGAGGCCCCAGGGACAGCATGGCTCTACTTTGAGTGCGTCTGTTTTGGGAGATGGGCTGGAACAAATCTGATCAATTGACTAGCTGACCATCCTTCCTCCTCCTCCTTCTCCCTCCCTGCTTCCCTTCATCAGTCATATTTTGAGTTTGATATATGTCCTGGGCTTACCTCTGGGCAGGCTCTTGGCTACACAGTCTCATAAGTTATTGGAGGTCACAGGTGCAGAAATCAGTACTGATTGTATAGCCTAGGAGGTGCAGGTTTATAAAATCATACCCCAAAGAATGCTACCTCCATGCATGGTCCACCTGCTGGTGCCATATGTACAAGCAGCTGCCCAGAACCAATAGCCTGATCCAGGGGACTAGAGTTTTGTCCCATGGCACTGAAGTTTAGAAGGTACGAAATGTTAAGTACTTATTTTAGGAGAATGTGTCATTGCAACGTAGAAATGATTAAGCTGTGCTCTGCATAGTGGGTCCAAGGATATAAAATAAGAAGCCACTCCTGGTACCCATGACTAGTGACACACCTGCCTGAGCCACATCAAGAATTGTAGCATTTTATGCTTACAGAAAGGCCAAAATCCATCTCATTTAATGTCAGGCCATCTATTCCAAGTGGATTTAATCATGGTGAAGACCAAGAGTAGAGAAAGGGGGGTGAGTTTGAGTGGAGCCATACATTTTTATTTCCACCTCTCATACCCCACTAGACCCCAGGTAGCCCCAAAGTAGGGGTAGGAATATGAGAGTAGATGTCCTAGAGGTTTTGTACATGATTGCCTTGGACAAGCTGTCCAGGTGGCCTGGCTTGGTTTGGTCACTCAGCCGGTGAGTGTAATCCTGGTATAATCCCTTAGAGGACTTTTTTATATATCACCCGTTTTGTCAAGGAGCAAAAGCACGGAGAAAACAAACCTGACCCATGGGAGTAGCATGCATGTCCTTTCTCCTTTGTTCAAGAGCAAGTAAGAAGCCCCTTCTGCTCTTTTCTTTAGCAAGCACATATATATTCCAGTGATGGGTTCATGGTTTAGCTAATGCAGGTGTTGGCAAAATCTTACACATTAGCCTTGGTAATTGTCCATATTTGTGTTTTTTTGCAGTTACTGCATGATTTTAATGCATGAGATTTCAGGCTCCTGAGGTCCTTACTATACACTAAGCACCAGAATTGCTAGTTATGGATCTAGCATTGCCTGTGCCTAGAATCAAAGGAGAGAATAGCTTTCTATGCCTCTGTGCTACCGTCTACTCTCTTCTTGCCTTTACACAGATATTGGAAGGCATCTATTTAAGGGCATATATGGAAGCTCCATTCTTGACCATGCTCCTTGACAAAATGGTAAAACTATGGTTGTAAAACCATAGCAGAGATGTAGATGACAAATGTGGTATGTCATAAATGTGTTATTGCTGGAGCTGAAGGGGCATTTCTGTATTGCACATGTTCTGAGCTTCAAGAAAACAAGGCAGCAAACTTTAAGGAAGTTAGTTTTTGTTTCTAAACAGCACTGTTCAAGTTCTTCGTTTCCTTTCTGGAACCTTCTGATTTGGTTTCCAGGAGGATATATGTTAGTTCAGGAGCTGACCGTGGAAGTATATTTTCCCGAAACTGGTAAGCTCAGGAAATGGGATGATGGGCCACCTGGATGGCTGTGTGTTGGACACTGATGTTTTATAAAGTCATTGATTTCCATATACATTGTATACTTGGTTCTTTTTAAGCACAGAATTATCAGCAGGTGCTAGTTATATGTTATTTGGGATGTTTTGGACTGGAAGTAACAGAACATCTAACTCAGATAAGCTTGAACAGGAGTTATTTTCCAGCTAGTATAACTGGAAGTCTAGAGGTAGGATGGGCTCCTGATTGGTTCATTCAGTGGCTCAGCAGTGTCTTTGGGGACCAAGGTTCTTTGGATTGTCTTTTCACCTTCTCCAATGCCAAGGCTCATTCCTCTTGGGGCAGATGATGGTTACTTAAGGTAACGAGGTCTCTCTTCCTGTGGCTCTGTCTTACAAGCAATGAATATTTTCCTAGCACCCCAGCACACATCCCCCTTGTGTGTGGCTCTAGAGTCAGCACCCTGGCCTCATTGCTGCTACACCGTGGTGGAGGGTGGAAGGAATTACCACCTCAGTGCCTACTTGACATTTCTCCCAATAAATCTCAACCTTCTCTCCTCCAAGTTTGGAGGCAATGGAGAAATAGACCCAGGTTTCAGATAAGAGATCAATATTGGCTTGATTGCTGGTTGGGCTGGATTGAGGAATGCAACTTGGATTTATAACCACTTCACCCACAAATTTACACAATAATTCATCCATAACTAAACTGTGTAGACACCTGGTTCAGGGAGGAGAAGCCCTCCCCATGCCAGCAGAGAGCAGAGCACCCACCCTTGTGATCTCAATAATGGAAGGAGCGTAGACATGAAACGGCCACTGTTTCTCCCCAGCCCTGGACAGAGGACCGCAGAGTAAAGGATCAGCCCCTTGCCATCTCACAACCGGATAAACCATTCCTCCTTGTCCCCAGGGAGTGGCGGTGGCAAGGAATACAAAGAGGAATTCTTTTCCCAATATCCCAGAAGGTTGACATTTTATATCTAATATTATATAATGGTAGAAACATTGGAAATATGACCATGAAAATATGTGACATGGTTTCTACCCTTGAGGAGCTTAATTCTAAGTCTAGAAAACCAGACCGAGACCTGTGAGAGTTAAAGAAACCAAGGCTGAGGGAAGGTCCTGGCAGGATGGGCCCAGCCTGGGGGGTCCTGGTTGTAGGTGAGTGCTGACTGCCTGGGGGTCCTTTGTGCTTCTGACAGCCCCCCTCCCCTCTCTCCCTGGCAGTGGAGGGCAACAGCGATGAGCTTGACAAACCCATCAAGGCTGTGTTTGCCGACGTGGCTTTTGTCAAGAAGTACAATCTGATGAGTCTGAATTCAATCAACTGGGCCCGGATCCTTGTGCAAATGGCCCACCACTTCTTCGCTTATTTCCAGTGTGCGCCATCCTTAGAGATGCATTCCCTGCCCCCTGTGGAGGTAGTTGTGCCAACTGGGGCTGCGGGTAACCTTGCAGGTAAGGGGACCTCTGAACGGACGTGGGCTTTCCAGAAAAATGCTTGTGGCGCTTATTCCTCCCCGCTGCCCTTTGGCTGCAGCTTTAAGGAGAAAAATTGAGAAATAGCTCTGAAAATAACAAGAACTACAGAGAACAAGCTCCTAGAAAACTTTCCCCTAACTACCAGGGGGGACCTCCAGGCCTCTTGCTGCAGGTGGTGCATGGTGGGTTGACTCCACTCAGCAGAGTGTGGAGAGATGGAGTCAAAGTTCAGCTGCATGTCTGACTGGCAGTGCCCTCTTGCTGAAATACAGACTTTACTCCCCATCTCTGCCAGCTGCTGCTGGGAGGGCAGGCAGCTCAAATGGCACGTATTCCCCCTCCTAGACACACTATCCAGAGGCCACGTGTGGTGGCAAGGGTTTTGGACTTAGTGTTCTGGCCCCAGTTCTGTCCTTTACTAGCTGAACAGCTGTGGGGAAGTCCCTTAGACTCAGCTGATAAGCTATAAAAAGGAGATTGGATCACATCGCTTATCATCTCAGGACTGCTGTGAGGTGCAAATGAGATTATGTGTGTAAATGAACTTTGTGAGAGTACAGTGCTGTATGGCTGCGTGGCATTAAAATCATTTTCTATAATAATAACATTTAAAAAGCACTTACTATGCAGCAGTTATTGCTTATGTGCTTTCCAATTATTAAGTCATTTAATCCTCACATGCACCTGTGATGGGGACCATTTGTATATCTTCTTTGAGGAATATTTACTCAAGTCCTCTGCCCACTTTTTAGTTGAGTTATTTGTATTTTATTGTTGAGTTGTAAGAGTTCTTGATATGTTCTGGATACAGGTCCCTTATCAGATACATGATTTGCAACTCTGTCTTATTGTGTTGGCTACCTTCTCATTTTACTGATACTGTCCTTGGAAGCATACAAGCTTGAAAAACCACAAAAGTTTCTTAATTTTGATGAAATCCAGTTTATCAGTTTTCCCTCTTTGTTGCTTGTGCTTTTGATGTCATGTCTCAAAAACCATTGTGCTTCTCCTCTCTTGTCTTGAGCTGGGTGCATTGCTCAGAGGATGGGCCTGCCCATCTACCTGGTCATGGCAGTGAACAGCAATGACATCCTCCACAGGACCATCCAATGGGGAGACTTCTCTCTGTCCGAGGCTGTCAAAACAACCTGGGCCTCAGCTATGGACATTCAGGTGGGATCTGGGGGTGGGGGGTGCAAGTCTGGCCCCAGGTGTTGGTTGGGGGTGGGGTGGTATATGAGGGCTGAGATCAGTGCACCCCCGGGATGCTGCCTGCCTGCCCAGGTGCCCTACAACATGGAGAGGATCTTCTGGCTGCTCTCCGGCTCCAATAGCCAGGTGACGAGAGCCCTCATGGAGCAGTTTGAAAGGACTCAAAGCCTGAGCCTACCCACGGAGCTGCACAGGAAGGTCGGTCACGATGCACACACCATGGAGAAAGGAAAGGGCATAGCCACGGAGCTGGACTTCCAGTTTTAAAATCTGTTCGAGGGGAGAGAATACCAGTTTCTTGAGTCCCTGCTGTGAGCCTTGCACCTTTGCAGCCCCTCTTTGGATCAGTTTATTGAGGGAGGAGGGGCAGCGGGAGCACTGATTTAGTCAGACGGGGCTCAACTCCAAGCCAGCTTTAAAACCTTGGGCCAGGTGCTTAAGCTCTGTGCCTCGATTTTCTCCTCTGTTCAGTGGGGGTAATGCGAATGCCTACCTCACAGTGTTGTGGAAGACTGAAGTCAAATAATGCCCATGAAACTCTTTGTACACTACCTGGCAATGGTGTGCTTGATACACTATTATTTTTATGTATTGTTGACTTCCAGTAATAGCTACTTTGCTTATCCAGAATTTGCAGAGACCAGTGTGAAAAGGAGAAATTTTATGTCTTCAGAGTGGAGGGAATCTAGTTGGGAAGGATTGCTTTTATTTTAATGCAATCTGTTGGTGGTCACTTAATATAAAAAAAAATGGATTTCATATGCTGAAGTTGTCTTTCACTTTCTCCACTAATTCTCACTAAGTGGTCATCCAGACTGTGGCTGTCTCCAGTGATCAGGACCGCGCTGCGTCACACCAACTCTAATCATTAGAAGGTTCTTTCTGTTGAGCTAGATTCTTTCTCCTGCTTGTAGTTCATGCACTGCTGAGCCATCTGACTCCCATATTTGAAGAGAATCTTCCGTTACCCACTGAGTCTTCCTGGTTTCTTCAGCTGTCCTTTACATGTCCTAACACTGCCTGGTCGGGGCCCATCTTAAAGGGGTCTTCCCAGAACTGGTTACAGTTCCCTGGGCTCAGCCACCCATACAGACTGGAGTAGAATTTCTGTCCTTTAGAACCCATGCATTTGATGCAACCAGTCTTAGTCGGTTAGGGCTGCTGTAACAAAGTGCCACAGACCAGGTAGCTTAGAAACAAGAGAAATTCATTGCTTGCAGTTTTGGACACTGGAAGTCTGAGATCAAGGTGCCAGCACGGTTGGGTTCTGGTGAAGGCAACTTCCAGAGAAGTTTCAGACTGCCGCCTTCTCATTGTGTCCTTACATGGTGGAAAGAGATTTGGCTAGCTCTCTGGCCTCTTCTTATAAAGGTTGTACATACAGAAGACTCCATCTTCATTTATTCATTCATTTTACATATCTGCTATGAGCCAGGACCTGTGCATAGATAAAATACACTTGCTGTCTTCTGTGAACCCTAATGGGACAGTAGCTATGTAAATGATTTATAATACCCCGTGCTCTCTGTTGCAGTCACGTTTGCGCAGGGTGTTTGGCACATGAGAAGCATGCAATACATTTTCAGGATGAAGAGATAAGAGGTCCGCCCTGAGGGGCACTGTTCCCCTGAGGTAGGGGGTTTCCTGGAGGAGGTGTAGAAAGTTGCATGGGAACTGACAGGAAGGTGTTCTCCAGCCCACAGGAAGGGGCACACCAACAAGAGGCACCAGGAAGGTGTGCATGCCTGAACCCTCATTTGTCAGGTCATTGAACAAGACTATATACTCATGTGCTGATTCATGAGCCAAATCCTAAGTTTATTCTTTATTGACCTGAAACTCAAATGTATCCTTTCCTTGAGTGAATCAGCCAAAAACCGGGGAATGTGGGAGTCCAGATTTTCTCTTGAGCTGAGTGCCATCTATTCCAAACGTTTCGTGTGTCCCTGCTGTTTCTCGCTGTGTTACACAGTGGCATTTTGGTCATCTTTTTCCTGTTTCCCCCCAACCTCGATTCTCACCCCCTGATCCTGGGACCTGTCAGCTTTCAGGGGCAGTGGCGTCTGTGTCCGTCTCGGATGAGACCATCACCCAGACCATGGCCCGCTGCTGGGCAGAGAATCGGTACTTGCTGTGCCCTCACTCGGCCGTGGCTGTGAGTTACCATTACCAGCAGACAGACAGACAGCAGCCCAGGTATGGCCACCAGCACCTGGGCCACTGGGAGGCCCTTTGGCTTTGAGGGGCCCCCCTCTTCCCCAAGCAGGGGAGACAGGAGAGTGTGAACTCACAGCTCTGATGAGCGTGATGGTTGCTGTGTGGAGCTGTGCCCTGAGAACTGTGGTCCCTAAAGAGCATGTGTGATAGATATCCAGGGCCAGCCACTGGGAGAGATGGTGGTCGAGCTAGGCCTCCAAGGAGGAGGCAGTTGCCCGCAGATCATTGCAGAAATAAGTTCAGGGCACTAAACGTTTGCCTCTCTCTCCCCTTTGTGCCCACCGCCTCCCACCCCGAACCCTGCCCTGTTCCTTCTTGTCCCTCCCACCTTCTCCTTTCTGTACCTGTCTGTCTGTGCTCTTGTTCCCACCTGCTCCACCCCCACAGCCCTCCCCGATGCTGTCTGGCCCCTGCTTCTGCAGCCAAGTTCCCAGAAGCTGTCCTGGCTGCCGGGCTGACCCCAGAGACTCCTGCAGAGATCCTGGCTCTGGAGCACAAAGAGACCCGCTGTACCCCGATGCGGAAGGGTGACGACTGGACATGGATGCTTCGGGACGCGATCCAAGACCTAAGCCAGCAGTGGAGGGGTCACTTCCCTAAAGCCCTGGCATAGCCAGGTTGGAAGGGCTTCCTTTAGGCTGCGGGCCCCAGGGAGCTGCCCTGTGCACCTTCTCCCTGCTTTGAGTTGGTGCAGGAGGTTCTCAGGAGGCTGTGCAGTGGGGTCCAGAGCCAGCTGGCTTTACTCTGTCCCATGGCTGCTCTGTGTTCTCACCATGGTGGTGGTGTGCCTGGTCCTCAGGGAGGCTGGGGTGAACCCCCACTGCCGGTACAGGAGCACCACTGCTACAGTGGAAGTGTCAGGGTCTGCAGATGAAGAGGCTGGGCACAGAGTTGACCTCAGTTCCGCAGGTTAGGACCCCCGAACCCTGTGCAGTGGGGGCTGCTTACTCCATCAGCACATGTCTGGGACTCATGATCTCCAAGCATTAGTTTGTCTGATCCCCAAACCAGATCCAGAGATCTTGGCCTTCACTGTGAGAGGCTTCCACCCTGTTGAAAGGTTTGGAATTCCTGGAATAAAAGTGCATGTTCAGTGTGATGACTCTGTGTGGTTTGTGGGCACAGAGTAGTGGCTGCCAACTAGTGATGGTGGTGCCTAGGTATGTGCCACATCTACCTGCCTCCAGGTCATGGCTTACAAAATTAACTGATTTAATCCTGACAGCAACCTGTGGCACATGTGTTACTATTACCTGCACTTTATGGATGGGGAAACGGAGATGCTGAGAGGTGAGTAACTTTCCACTGTTGTATTACTACGGAGCAGAGGATGGGATGTGAACCCAGGCATTGTGGCTTCAAGTTCCATGTGTAGTTTCCATCACACTCTGTCCCATGTAGCTGGTCACATTCAGCTGTGGTCTCCCACTCTCCATCCTTCCCAAGGCCAGGGCTCCGCTTCTGGGCCCTGCTCCTCCCTCCCTCTCACGGGTGAGTTCGGGAGCATCGCTGTGCTTCTCCTGAAGGCCCCCTAGGGGCTGCTGCAGCCTGCTCTCCAGGTCTCTGTAACCCTCACTGGCCCTGGCACTCCAGCCCTGCTGCCTGCTTTCCTGCACAGACGGGTCCCTCTCCAGGCTGCCGTGTTTCTCATGGCCTCAGGGCAGAGTTGGGGTCACCTGGGTCACAAAAATCCCCATCCTCTGGATGGTTTGGACACCTCTCCAGCTCTGAGAGGCCAGCAGATCTATGAGAAAGGACCCAGAACAGTCAGCGGACACAGCACAGATAGATGTGAAACGTGAACTACAGGCTATTCTGGCCCCAATGGAATCATGGGGATGAAGGGAGGAGGCTAAGAGATGAAGTCTGAAGAAGCACCCACCTTGTAAACACACACATACACACACAGATACACAGACACATATACATGCACACATCACACCTACTGGACAAAGCAAGGATCCTGGTCCCAAATGACATTAGAATCAGGTTGAAAGTGTCCTTTGAGTCACCCACCCACAGGTGAGCCATTTCATCTTCATGAACCTCAGTTACCTCATGTAGTAATTACAATAGTCATGTGGCTGGTTTGTGTTGAGGATTATGTGAATTATGTGAGGTAATGTATTTCCAAGTGCTAGGTAAATGCTAAAATGCAGTACAAATGGTTCTTAGGTTGACCCAATTATAGTCTGCACGAAACAATTTGGTACTTTTAAGCTATCCTGTATTTTTTAACTAATTGCTTCATTTGTTTGTCTTACCTTTTCTGTGAGACTGCCTCTTCCTGGAGGACAAAGTTCTTTGGTGTCCATTGTGCTGGCACGGCTCTGGGCAAGGGGCTGGAGTCACCCTCGTTCCCAGGGACAGGCTCTGTGGGGGGTGTTTGGGGCTGAATGTCACAGATTAGTCAGGTGAGGCTCTGCTGGCCGGTTAACAAGCCTTGTTCATTTACATTGAAGATGGTGGTCGATTCCTTCTCTTGGGCACTGGTGATAGGCTAAGCCCTCGTAAAGCTCTTTTCAGACACTGACTTCTTTAATCCTCACCAGGGCTGTATGAGAAAGTGCTGCTAGGCCCTCCATTTTAGAGATGAGGCAGTGACGCTCTGCGGGGTTAGGTAACTTGCCTTAGGCAACCCAGCCAGTGTGTGGTGGAGGTGGGATGTGAGGCTGGGTGTTAGGGTCTGTGAATTCACGGTCATGTTAGACTGGGAGAGGCGCTTTGGGCCAGATGGCTGGCAAGTTCTGTTCAAATCAGAGTCAGCACTCATCTGAAGATGAGACAGGGAGTGAGGATGTCAGGGTGGAGGAGAAGAGGAGAGGGTCTATCATTAGGAGAAGGGCCAGATGCCGTGGGCAGGGAGCCGAGAGCCAGGGCTGCTGTGGGGAGCTCTTCTCTGGCTCAGGCCCCCTCTTGGAGCTGGGACCCTTCCCAGGATGGCTGGGGGCAGCTGTCTGCTGAATGGGGTGGGCAATATCATGGGAGGAGTACAAAGTGAGTATGTGTGAGACAGTTGGCTCCTGGCAGGGAGGCCCAACCTGGTAGGCCCCACTGGAAAGACTCAAATGGACGAAGTCAGGGAGGCTTTACTGAGTTTTCTGTGTCCCAGCTAAACAAAGGGTGAGCCCCAAGGGAGGGCTGGGCCGCTAGCCTCTGTCCTGTTCACTGCGTTTGCCCAAGAAAGCCTCTTTCCAGACCCACCTTTTCAGGCCTCCACCCATCAAGTCATCCATTCATCCATTCCACACCCTGGGTGTCTCCAGGGGCTAATCTAACGCTGAGGGCCAGTGTGGTGACTTCTAGCCAAGTGTAGGGCACTGTGTTGGGCACCGAAGCAGAGAGAACAGGTAGGGAAAGATGAGGCTGGGGTTGACTTGTGCAGAAGGATGAAAGCCTGTGACAACATCCAGGGACTGCCCCAAGACGCAGGGACTACCCCAAGACTGAGCAACTGGCCCTGGAACTCAGGGCCCAGGCAGCCTTCCTGCGGCCCCCTTTGTCCACCCCACTGTGGCACTGACCCATAGTGTTATGGTAGTCGGCTTAGGGGTTGCTCCCACATTACCTAAACACTCCTTAAATACCCCATAAGCCAGGACCTAATCTGCAAGCCTAGCTTTTGCTGAGGATGGCCTGAGTGAGTGGTTGATTGGAACAGAACTGGTGGGAGTTGCTGCAGGGCCCATGAGAGGAAAGGTGACTGGGCAGGAGAGGGTGGGGGTGGGGGTGAAGAAAGCAGGGTCCCCAAGGGTCTGCCCAATAAGGGGATCCTGCTAGGTTCAGGGCTGTTTCCTCCTCCTGGATGTTTGGTCATCACACGATCTTTCAGAAGAAGGCCGAGGGACGGCCTATGGTAGCAGGAAAAAAGGTGTGTGCATGGGGGAGGGGCCGCCTCCCTCAGAATGAATGCTCAGGAGCTAAGGTACCTGTAACAGGTCCAAAGCCAAGTACTGAGGCAGGGCTCTGGGACCTTCGGCCAGAGGAAAGCCCTGGAGCCCCCTCGGTTTGGCCGCTAGAGGGAGCCACAGAGCGCCCCCTTCACCTCCCAAGGGGCTTGTAGCATTGTCTTCCCCTCTCCCTTACCTGGCTTCATGCCTAAGCAGGGACAGCGCCTGCTTGTGAAACACTCAGTCTAGGTCTTGAGGTTTCAGAAGGGTCTGGGCGAGCTCTGTGCAGCGTTCCTGCAAATAAAGGTCATTTCAAGCTGCATTAGCCCCCTGCCCCCAATCTCTGGGCAAAAGCATCCTCCACATTAATCCTGGGCCCGGGATGAGCCAGCCCATGTTTCCCACGGCCAGCAGAGGGCAGCAGAACACACCCCTAAATCCCCCTCCCTCCAAAGGTGCCCAACCCCTAACCCCACCCTCACGCCCCCGTAGGCCCGCAGGTCTGAATTTGTTTTTGAGGAATTACAGCCTCATAGGGATTTTTTTAGTTAATTGTTTCTCGAATTTAATATTGGATGCTCCCTCCTTTAAAGGTAAAAAAAAAGTCCCACAGATGCTTCCAATGTCATCTTAAATTAAGTTTCTGCTTTGTAAGAACGCTAATCAAACGTGCAAACGTAAAAATACCTATGAGCTCCTTAGAATGGTGGCTCTCAAAGATAAGCAGAAATAAAATTTTAAATTAAATGATAACAAATCTACAAAATCAATAAAATCCAAAGTAAGCTCATAAATATGTGTGACACGTCACACGCTGCGCTCAAATCCCAGGTACCAGGTGACTGTGGCACTGCCCTCTAAGACGTGGTTTGGACTGTCGCTTGTTTACCGTGTTTATCTTCCATTTGTGGAGGAATACCTTTGTTCTTTCATCACTTTTTGTATTCTGACTACAGGGGGGCATCCAGGACCAGCCCAGTGTGACATCATAGAGCCTGCACTTGGCACCAGCTCCTCCTGTTTGTCACATCATCTGCCTCTCCTTGTTTTGTGACAGTTGAGAGTACTGTTACTTGCAATGGTAAATACAAATGCAAATGCAGACACTGAAATTATGCAAATAAGGCTTAACTTTGTGACCCGATGGATGATCCAGAAAATGTCTTTAAAACATATATATATATATATATTTTTTTTTTATTGAATAATACCCAATCAGTGGTGTTTTGTGTCAAACACACCCCATCTCCCCCAGCCCTTGCTTTTTACAGATGGACAAATAGGCTCTGGGAGCCTATCGGTGGGCTTAGCCCAAGTCACACAGCTCATCAGGAGCAACAGCTTCTGAACTCCAGGACTCTCTGCACAGCAACACCTCCCATCAACACAGTGTATCTCCCATCAACATGTGTGGACAGCCTGTTACAGGCGTGGCCCTAGGGAAGGAGTTCTGGGGAGTCCCTTAAGGATTAGCCACTGCAGTTTAGGTAGTTCCCTGCAGATTTCAAAAACTTGGAACATTAAAAGAAATTGGATATACACAGCCACTGCTGCAGATGGAAGAATTTGTCTAAAGTCCTTCCAGACTCCAGGCTCTGAAAAGAAGTCCCAGTCTGCACCTTTGTATATGTTCTCATTTTCTGGTGTTTATACATAAGCTTTTTAAAACCTCTAGGTATTGGGGCCTTATTGGATATTTGTTTTAGGGCTTGGGGGAGATGGGTCAATACACCATATCTGTCCCTGCTTCAGGAGAAGGCTTTAAATTTGAGACCTATTAAATCCCAAGGGTCCATAGATAGAATTTGGGGGTGGGGGATTTGACAACCTGAATGGGAAAAAAAATGCATCTTTATTTTTCCTAGCCTGTTACCAAAACTCAGCACTTCCTTAAAATATAAATGTTGTAAACAAACCAATTTAACACTAGCAGCCCTGGGACTCCATTGGAGAGAGAAATCACATTTTCCTGTGACATTATAGCAGTTGTAGGTATCTTAAAGTATCATTAACACTCATCACTATTTAGAAATATTAGATCTGATACTATGTTTTAATTATCAATAAAGAACATACATGGCATTTCTACATTATAAACACTTTTTAAAATTTGGTAACTGTCTTTCGATATAATTGGTTGCCTTTCTTATCCCATGATGGGATGTTTTATTTTGTGCATTTGAAAATATTATTTGAGGCTGTCAAAGGA